ATCTGTGCAGTGCTATTACAAAAGGATTTCTGTCTTAGCTTGTTACCATCACTTCAGCATCATAGGCAATTTTCTAAAAATCCTCCTTCTCATTCATCAGGATTTTCATCTGCTCCTCCCAACTGTAGAATAAAATACAGGTTCATGCTTTACTTACCCCAAGATAATGGCCATCAATAAACACAACAGGGAGTGAGGGAACCTCACAGACGCTTCTGCATCTTTCATCTAGTTCTTTTCCATAATCACTGTTCAGAGCAATGTTTTTTTCTTCAAACTTCACTCTGTGATTTTGAAATATCTTTCTAACCAGTTCGCATCTTTCAAAAGTGGTTCTCACCACACGAAGACTGGTAGTATAAATTACTATGCGGCCAAACTCTGGGACTGCTGAGACCTGGAAAAAAATTAGTTCCCATTACATTAAGCAAAGGGTTAATATCTTCCAATTATTGAGTAGTTTTATTTAAAATATTATTTAAAAAAACCTCAGCATCTTAAAAACACAATCCAACTTTCAACTTTTATTCAAACATGAAGATGGAACAGGAAGAAGGAAGTTCTTGAGAACAGCAATATAAGGCAATTTAAGTTCTAAAAGTAAAGTGCAACTTAACTTTTTTGGAAAGTCTTAGGGATCGTAAGTCAACATATATTTTCAAGAAAGGGATATATTTCAGATCCTGATGGACCTCCAAATGGGAATAAATCGACCCTGTTCTGCAGATGTCTGATTCTGTTAATACAGTCACTTGTGTTTGCACAGAGTTTGATAGTACCTAGACTAAGACTAAACTTGCTAGCTTAGATGTTTTTGGCAATCTGCTTCAAGACAAGAGCCTAAGCTAATCCTTAGCACGTCCATGACCAAAGATTAACTTAGAGTACTTTAGGTCTCCATGCTGAACTAGATTATGACTGCAGAAGCTACAGATGAATCTCTAATTTTTAATGTAGTTTCTCAACAAATTAACATCCAAACAACAGTAAAACCTATCTTTTTTGTGTATTAAATGTCCAATCAAAAACCTAATGCAGCTAGTTGGAAAAAAGTTTCACACTACAATTCAGACTTTACTTTTTACCCTACTTTTCAATATGTAAGTTTATGCTGTTCCTTTCCTTTCTAGGATGAAAACAATTAGATAGTGTAAATACTACAGGGATTAATTTCCCCAAGAGAGTCTGATAGATTTTCAAGAAGCCTGAAAATCCTTCTTCTAAATAAAGATACTATGTTCAAATATATAACTAATATTCCAGCTTTTTAAAAAAGTGGTAATGCATTTCCGAGCTTTCCAAATTATCCATTGTATTCAGCAAATTATATTTAATTATTTCATCAGTATTCCAGGAGTCAAAACACAAGTTAGAAAACAGAAAGCAAGGATATCTCTACTACACTGTAGCACTGTATGGAAAATGAACCTTGATGTGTGACTAGATAATTTCTAACCTATCTCATTAATTAACTATAAAAACATAGCTGTTACATTGGGCAGATGTTATTGCAGATTTTGCCATATAACCAGTTATGATTTAACTTGCTACTTAAATACCAAAAAAAAATCCTTGAAAAAGTATATTCTGCTTAGAGAGGTGTTTACAAGATTCTTCATATAGTGAAGAGTTCTCAGGAAAAATATTTGCATTTCACAGATCTCTTACAGAACACTGGAGGTGTTATTGCCCACATATGTGGCCACGGCTTTCATCTCCCATTCAGGAAAGGAACAATGTTTTGATAGGTCAATATTTTTTCTCTTAGAATGGATGTCAGAAATTCAGTTTTAAGAATAAGTTTTATACAAATGGGCTACTTTTCTACAGCCCTGTTTTAGGTTGAAAATCTGTTGCACTGCTACTGCAGTATGACTCTCCTGCAGCATCGTTCACACATTCCAAGCAAGAGAATTAGCTCATTGTCTCCATAAAAGACAAGTACTCTGCATAAATACTGCAAAATATTTTAGTAACCACACATGGGTTGCTTGAAGGAAGAGGAGTTTCTTGTTTTCATAAGCAACCAAAAGAAGTTCTTAAATAGCAACTTTCACATATTCCTCCTTTCTTCCTCTTTGGAGTGACAATACATTTTGAAGTGCGAAACCATTCAACAGGAGGGAAGCTCTTGCTCCTCCATAGCTCTAATCTCTAATGCTGCTTGTTCCCAGACACCAGAGGCTGGCAGCATGGCTACAGACAGTCATTATCTGGTGAAGCATCAGGACTGTGGTGTCCCTACAGCATACAAATAAGCAGCTGAAGAGATGGAAAAATGGAAAGTTGTAAAGTGATCTGGAAAGATATCAAGTGGAAGGGGTGTACAAAGAGTCACTTTTATGTTTATTCCTTTCTTTTTTCCTAATGTGACAGTGAAGAAATGCCATTGTTTGCCCTGCAAAGAAGTATCAAGAACATTGATCAAGCAATTGTTCAGGGAAATTTTCATAGAAGCCTTGTTTTCTGTGCTACAAATGTACACAATTTGTCCTTGCAAGGACTTTTGCCATGGAAAGATATCCTTCTTGCCACCTGTCTGAAAACCACATTGGTAATGAACAACAGGGGGGTTATAATCTATATTAATTCTTGTTTTTCTAATCAATATAGAGGCTGAAAACTGTCATACTTAATTACCAGAATACACTCTTGAAATAAACCAGTAAACCCTGTGCTTTTCCTTCCTAGGTTGGAGCTGTGGCAAAATCATAAATAACAAGCAATGTAAACAAATGAAAAGAAAGACACTTTTGAAAATGAAGTTTTACAATATTGCATTGCAAATTTGAAATTCAAATCACCTCATGTAACTCACAAATGCACATAAAACTCTAGGTGAAATTAAACAGAAGGCTATTCTCTGGTTAATGGGCATGACAAAACTTTAATAAAGCTGTGGAAGTTGAACAGATTAATATATCAAAAGATTTGGAGGAACTTATATTAACCTCTTATTTGCACTTCTTGTAGGTGGAATTCTCATTGAAGCAAGAGGCTTATGATCCTTAAGCTTTCTATATATTTTTCATGTATTTGTAGCTTTTCAAATAGCTAATGCATGGCTGTAGCTCCAGTACTTTTCCTACCCTTTTCCCCCTAGATATTAGAACAGTAAGCTAACCTTGTAATACATTCCTGAAATACTGTTTAGTCTTATTGTCAGGAAGATGGCCTACAAGAAGAACATTTTGCTTTCCAAGCAGAATCTGAGACATTATAACAAGAAGTGGGGCAAAGAAGCCCTTGGACTAACTCCAAGGGGTTGACCCAGGGCTGGGTTACTGGGGCAACTGAATAATGGGCATATCCATTAGATATCCTAATTAATCAACCTTGTAAAAATTGTAGAAATCCAGCCAGGTGCGCCCATCACCACTGGGACACCTGGTAGCTTCCAAATAAAGGTCTGCTTTTTACTTTACTATGCTAATATTGTTGCAAGGCTTTTTTCTCTTTTGATTATAAGCAACACTTATGGATACCATTTGACCTAAGGTGGCAAACACTGTGTCATATCCAGGAAAACCCTGTGCACATGGGCCAGGGTTGTGCTTCAGAGAAAGTGCCTGTATGGAAAGATTGCCAAGGAAGAAATTTAAGTTTTCAGGAGGAAATAAAGTTGCTTTAGTAGTAGTCCTCTACATCATTTACAACTCTTAGTTTAGCAGCCCAATGTTACCATCTCCCCAAGAGTCTAAGGGCACATTCTGCTTTACTGCCTCAGCCTGAAGAGCTTGCAGTTTCCTTGGGAGAATCAAGCAGCCAGAAACAGCAGCAGCATGACCTGCATCACTTCACAGCAGAGCTGCCACTTCCAGCCTAAGAAACAGCTGCCCTTTTCTTCTGTCTAGAGAGATGAAGTAATTGCTTCAGCAGTTCAGTCCTGTTTCATGATTGAACATGAAAAAACCACAATGTCACTTACTTTGTTCCTGACTCAGTCTTTTCCCAGACTTCGTTACCAGGTCAGTCAGGGCCTTTGCAAATCATAGAACCATAGCATCATTGAATGGTTTGGGTTGTAAGGGACTTTAAAGATCCCCTGCTTCCAACAGCTCTGCCAGGAGCAGGCACACCTCCCACTAGAGCAGTTTGTTCAAAGCCCTGTCCTGATGTATAACTGGGGGAAATCTATCCCTCTGACATCCCTCTGGCACCCATCTGACATGGTTGACTCAATATAATCCTAACTGGGAAAATCTTGAGGTATGTCATCCATGAGGCTAAATTTGTGAGTTCATTATCAAGTGGCACCACAAAAGAAAGGAAGAATTTGCTGATGAAAAGGAGAAGGCTTAATAGAGCAAGCAGATGAGGAAAAAAATGAAGGGATTTTGAGGACTGGAAAAGGGCTGAAAATACAGAACTGAAACCAGATGATAAACCAAAACCTAAAATGTCAGGACACTGACAGATCAAGAGTAGTAGACACTAAATGTAGAAATAAAAATATGAAAAATATGCCCAAAAAAAAAGGCAATAAAACAAACAAAGTAAATGATAACAAAGTTGCAACACAAAGTAAATGATAAAACAGAGAGAAGGTCACTGAAATCCTGAACCTTTTTTAAAAGAAATTCCAGTAGTCAATGTAACTGTACAACAAATACATTACAGAATGTGTCAATCTTCAAGTTGTTTGAAAATTTTGGAGTGCTCCTTAAAAAAATGGTTTCTATTACTACGGCTTCAGAAATATGAAATATTTCAGAATCATACTCCTAAAACTTGTCTTTGAGAATTTACCTTTTTCCTATGAAGTTGCCTCAGCAATAATAACAGACTTCTCAGTAGCTCTGAAAAAACAGTACAACAGTCAAGGGTTTCCATGGTGCTTCTGAAAGCCAAATAAATACCCTTAATCTCATTAATATTTTTGGGTTCAGACTTCCCCACTATATCTGATCCCTGATCTTTGGGTCCAGCTGCAACTGAAGCAGCAGGAGATGTGTCCATGTTTTTCTGTTGGTCTCACAGTTACCTTGGCCCTGACCAGTCCTGCCAGTCTGAGCAGATATTTCTCTTCTTTTTAGGAGGGGAATTTATTAAACTAACAATTGAATAACAATACCAAATTAATTCTTCAGCATATTTGCAATGACTCACTCTCTAAACACTACAGATTTTATTTAATATATTTTACAGCATTTTTGTCTGTTTTGTGACATTGAGTGTCTTTCTATCTTTGGACCAAAACCCTTAGCATGGATATTTTTGCAGCATGACTAATAGCTATTAGTGGTCCAAGCCAAGGCTTTTCTGCTTGTTGAGTAAGAACCACTGTATCCCTTGGGGCATAAAGTGATTGCTCCTAGAACAGTGGTGAAATTTGCTTTTTGAAAACCTTTGTATATGACCATGTCTGTAAACAACTAAACAGACAAGTCCATCAGT